TAAAACGGTAAAAGAGTCCTAAAGTTGGAGAAAAGAAGGCATCATCCTGCCCCCAGAACAAAACCAGCAGAGGCCCTCTATGACACAAGTCGGGGAAACTTCGCCCAAACCTCCCGGCAGGACCCCTAGACTCTTCCCAGTGAGGTGGAAGGCAATGAAATACATGTGTCCTATAAAAGGCAGGAGCATAAATGTTACATGTCGGCCAGAGTCCAGGGATGCTTCAACTCTTATGTCACCTGCCTCTGCAAGTTTATCAAACAATAAATGCGGGGCAGGGGGTGATGGTGGTTTGAAGTAGTTGTCTCCGGATGGAGCAGAGGCAGGAAATTTTGCTAAGAAATCTTCGGGCAGGAAACAGGGGTTCCTACCCTGGCTCCAGCAGGAGCAGATCAGGCTCCAAAATCCACCCCAGCCGTGATCTCCCAAATTATAAAGCACTGGTGATCCCGGGGCCGAGAGCCTGTCAGCACCACCCTGCATCTGAGCCACGCGGCTCGAACGCCTACTTTCTAGCCTTGAAATATGGCCCATCCGCAGCTTCCCCCCGTGAGAGAATACCCTCCCGCGCCCCTGTGAGGATTTTATTCCAAACATATGCTGCGGATGTTTGAAGTGCTCGCTATGCCTGTGTTTTCTTTTTTCTTTCCTTTTTTTTTTTTCCAGTCAAACCCACAAAACCTAAAATACTTTGAATTCTGCCTAAGTACAATTTGTGAAGATGCAACACTGCATACCCAAGTATAATAAAACCTTGTGCAATAAAAAAAAAAAGTTACAGATGTCCTTCTGAAGGGGGAAAAAATGATTTTCCCTTTTCCGGTCTTACAGGAAGCCTGCCCACATTTTAGAAATACAAAGTTAGTATATATAGAAGCAAACAGGCATTTTGGAAAGTCTACATTTTCCGACCACAGAGAAACGAAGGGATTACTGCGAGTGCTCGCACAGCCGGCGCCCTAGATGAGAGGAATCTCTTCTTTCCAACAGCCCGGTGGAGCTGGCATTTCACTCGGGGACAGGGGACCCGCCTCAAAAGCTGGTTCTGAAAGTGGTGCACTTGGGTTCCTGACTGTGCTGGGGGACTGGGAAGAGGTAAACAAGGGTGATCGAAATGGTGGGCCTCTTGTGAGGGGGCCAGGTGGCGGTGCTCTGTGACGCTGGCCCAGCTGGGAGGGCTCAGGGTTCACTTCTGAAGCCTTCCCTGACGTGTGCCCATGACCCAGGGCCACCTGAGCCTGGGCTGGATCACAGCAACAGGACCCTGTTGGAGGTGCTGTCTTTCTCTGTGTCTCTCTTGCTCATGGAAGAAGAAACCAAAGTTGAAAGAATTTTATGTATCATTTTAGAAAGCGGGTACCATTCTTACACACTAAAAACGTCTTAGAAAAGTATCCCTTTCAGCTCACACCAGTCATTAGCTTGGCCTGAATAATTAAATCCATATGAGGGAGACAGATATTAGTATAGTGCATCTAAAACAAACTTGCAACCTTGGTAGAAAACAAAATACTCCACTGGGATTCTAGAAAAAGTAAGGCCATATCCTATCTGATTCTGAGACTTAGTTTAGGAGACCTGTAAGTTATTTGCTAGGAATACATAATACTATCTACACCTTTATTTTCTCGCATAAGTATTAAGTATAAGCTTGCATTTGTTACATAAAACACTTTCTGCTGTGAGTCTAAAAATATTAAGAGTTCTCAAACTCATCTAAAAGCTTTATAATATTTTCACTTTATAGTATTTACAAAATAATAAATTACAGTCAGCTTACTAAAATTCAATGAAGAAGGATTAGGCTCAAAAGGTCACAGTTCAGAGTTCTAACCACAGAAACCCCTTTCTTTAGATTTTCAGTTGTTTTCTTTCCTTTTCTCCTTCCTTTTTAATTTGTAATGGGGTATGTGTGCTCACTGGAGACCAAGAGAGAGGGAAATGACAAGGCACCTTCCAAAAGGATGGCCATGCTGCAATCCCTCCTCCTTCGTTCTCCTCTTCAAATTTTAGGCATGCACACATATGCACCTGGCATGTTTTTTAAGCTACCAGGTCTGGGACTTGAACTGTGCAGTCAGCCATGCGGGATCCAACCACTTTAACCACCCTGCCACTGGCTGGCCCTACAGTCCAATTTCTAGTCTGTGTTTCTAATAGGTACTGGTCTCAGACTAGGTCTGGCAGAAAAGAAAGCAAGTCTACACCAAACCAGACGCACTGCAACACTCACAAAAGTGATCTGGTTCGGAGTGTGAACTAACGACACACCCACGATAGTGATGCTCACGTTCAGGACAGAGGAATAGAAGAAGGACCGTCCTAGGAAGTTTGGAGGGACTCAGCACATGCCAGAGATGTTACTGAGCACCATGTGCTTGTCTCGCTTGATTCCCTCAACGACCTCGAGAGCAGGTGGTGACATCACTGCCATTCAACGTGAGGGGATGGGTCTCGAACGGGCAGCACGCTTGGCCGAGCTCACACGGCCATTCAGGGACAAAACTGAACTTGAATCCAAACTCCCAGATCCTGAGCCAACCTGTGCCAACTCCAGGAGTCCTTGCCCATCTTAGCAACGAAACAGAATCATTTCTTCATGACCAGTGTAGGGAGTGCACAGGAGGCCAAAAATTCCCTATCTGGAAAGTTACGACAAATGGAATACTGTTTCAAACAAGGCTTTCAGATGGGTGGACTTAACGGGTGTCCTCACAACAGAGTGACAATGAGTGATCCCAAATCCCACTAAGAGCTGCCCAGTGTCCAGCGCTAGTGACACTCGCGACCCAGGAGGCAGGTCACACACAGGAGCACTGAGAGAAGAAGAGGGTCCCAAGTGTGCAGGAGCCCAGCCTCAAACGACAGCCAGAGGACTCAATGGGGGAAACCGTTAAAACAAACGAACCAAGAACACGCTGCAAGTTGAATGGCGCAGAGAGAAAGTTAACGGTTATCTGCCCACTATCGTCAGCCACAGATGAAGTGCTCATCAGCTGTCCCGACTAATTAAATACCTCAGTAATTAGTGAGTCTCTGGAAAAGCAAACACAACGTACTACGAAATGGGAAACGGCTACGTTCACAAGTAAGGACAAAGGCAATGCAGCCTGCTTGTGGCTAAGAACCTAGACTTACTCACTCACTCATTTATTTATTTAAAGTGTACTATCAGGGCATAAACTCAGAACTGGGAAAGATGTGGGAGTCCCTGTGTTCTCCATAGCTGATACATAAGGAGACTTAAATGAAAATACTGTATAGAAAACTTAGGAAGATGCTCAGAGAAAAATTCTACCAACACTATTTCAACCTTCATACCAAAAAGAAAAGAGAAAGAAAATGAAATAAACCTTAAATGAGGGAAGAAAAGGGAAATGCCCTAGCAACCCTCCTCTTTATTTCCATCTCTAAAGAAATAACCAGGCAGCAACAGGACTGATAAGCACTTTTTCAACAGAGAAGTGGTAGCCTCCTAAGAGCTTAGAAGAATCCATAAAACCTTGTCCCCCATGCTCCGACCACTTTTTAAAATATGTACTTTCCACTTAAAAATATAATGTATCTTCCATCTTTTCCAACAATATAATCTCGTCGAGGGGGAAAAGCAGTTGCTGAGACTTAAGGTTGTACGAGACCCTTTGATCTGATGAGAGAGCATTCCCCTTCGCTGCAAGCCAACTAATGAAGGGATGAAATTAGCTTTTATCCTGGGCACTTTCTTGAGCAAAAAAACATGCACTAATCAGCTGTCCTCACTAATCAGTCATCTGGCTAATGACCTTTTGCCTTAAAACACTAAAATTTCTGAATGATGTGGAAAAGGGGAAACACAAACCAGTCCCCCTCTCCGGAGCTCCATGAGTCATCTGGAATTGGAGCCTGGGAGGTTAAATGGCAAGTCTGTGTCCTGGCAAGGTGATAAATCTGTAATCAAGAGCTGTGAGCTTTGGCACCTCAATATGAACTTCATTACTCCACAACCAAATTGTACTTCTTAACTAGAAACAGGCCAGACAGAAACTCTATCCTTATATATTTTTCCTTTCTGTTCTGCCTTTGGAGAAAACCATGGTATACTCGTGATCAGAGTCCTAACTAATTTCTTAAACTTTTATTAGTGCTGGAAAAGGAGCATCCAACATTTCCAGCATGCTGGTTAGAGAGAAGAGTAGAGCACAGAGAAAAATCTTCCACCATAAAGAATTTTGCACCAATTTGTTAAAAAGAGGTCTGTTTTAACAAACCATAAAAAAAAAAGGAATAGCCAAAATCGTTAAATCGAAAATCATTAGCAATGGGGATGGCTGCTGTTAAGAGCTCTGCTTCCGTAAATCCCCACCACCAGCCCATCTTCTCCTGCTGCGTGTATGTGGATGAAGCGAATCCGTCTCTAGCTCCCAGGAAAGGTCCACGTGAATCAGTCACAAATGGACCACCTTCCTGAAGGCAGCCATGCCGAGGCCTGAAGTTGTGCAGAGATGTTAAAAAAAGTCTCTCTCTAAATAAAAAAAGGACAGAGAGGAAGTTGGAGAAGTATTTAAAAAAAAAAAAAAAAAAAGAAAAAAAAAAAATGAACCTTTAAAAAAAAAAAAAAAAATATAAAGCAGCC